CTTGCACTCACAATATTGTTTTGGGTAATCTCCTCCAAGTGAAATAAAAATTCAAGATAATTTAAATCTGCTTCTTTTGCAGAAACTGCCTTAATAAGGCCTAATTGAAATTAAAATCAATTGATCTAATGCAATCCATTTGCTTTATGTGGCACTGAGATGTAAATAAGCTTTGGCTACACACCCAGATACTCTGTAAAATGTGTGTGTGTGTGTGCGCGAGCGCATCCGTGCGTGTGCACGTTTCCTACACAGCTAGGCAATGCATATAGGTTAGTGCTGGCCCAAGCATTAGACTCCTGGCAAATAGAAGGGAAAGATATGGAGGCACTGACATATTTTACTTTTTTGGGCTCCATGATCAGTGCAGATGGTGGCAGCAGCCACAAAATTAAAAGACACCTGCTTCTCGGGAGGAAAGCAATGACAAACCTCGACAGCATCTTAAAAAGCAGAGACATCACCTTGCTGACAAAGATCAGCATAGTCAAAGCTATGGTTTTAATAGTAGCGGAAGCAGAGACATCACCTTGCTGACAAAAGAAAGCTGACCGCCAAAGAATTGATGCTTTTGAATTGTGTTGCTGGAGGAGGCTCTTGAGAGTCCCCTGGACTGCAAGGAGAAAAAAACTATCCATTCTGAAGAAAATCAACCCCGAGTGCTCACTGGAAAGACAGATCCTGAAGCTGAGGCTCCAATACTTTGGCCATCTCATGATAAGAGAAGACTCCCTGGAAAAGACCCTGGTGTTGGGAAAGTGTGAAGGCAAGAGGAGAAGGGGACGACAGAGGATGAGATGATTGGACAGTGTCATTGAAGCTACCAACATGAATTTGACCCAACTCCAGGAGGCAGTGGAAGACAGGCGGGCCTGGCATGCTCTGGTCCATGGGGGTCACAAAGAGTCGGACACGACTTGACTAAATAACAATGCTTTAGGCAGAGTGAGGTCATTGCCTCAAGTGTCAGATGTGGGTGGGAAGTGTTAGCAATCCCCTGGCTGTTACTCCTAGACTCTCCAGCTCTTCTGCTGTTGAGGACAGAGCACTATTGTATCAGACATCCAGTTCTGGGCAGGCGCCTTACATGATTGCTTCTGGTATAGAGAAAGACACTATACCACTCCAAGTCTCAGTGGAAGTTTCGCCTGTCACTCAAGCCAGTTTCTGGGGGAGGAATGCTGTATTGACCTTTGTTCCCGGAACCAAACTGTTTTGGTCTTGTTGTGATATAGATTGAAAAGGCAGGACAGGGATGGAACTGCCAGCAGAGAAACAGGGCCGAGAAACCCCAGAGACCACCAGGCCTAGGATGGCACCAATACCCAACACCCTTCAGCAACAGCCAGAGCCTACAGCTGGCTCCACTGTTAATACAATGTATGCCTGGAGATGGCTTCTCCTACTCCCTCTTCTGATTTCAGCCCCAGATCGAAAGGATGGTTAGAGGCAGCTGCCTAGAGCTACTTGGAAGAGTGTTGAATTACATCACAGTGGCTGAAATCCTGATGTGTTTTTAAACATGTGGAAAGCCAGCACGCTTCTAACCAGCAATTAACAATTTGTGTGTGCATTTAAAAAAGCAACAAGATTTCAACCAAAGTTTCAGCACTTGGCCCAGATGTGTAAATGCTACATTTTATTTTTGTTGAACGGAGAGAGGTGTTAATTTGTTTCAGTAGCCTTTAGCATCTGTTTTGTATCTAGCAAAGATTTTGAGTCAAACTAAGTGGTACACTTAGACATTCGAAACATAGCTGTGTTATGAGGTTAAATGTACCTATCCTAACACACACTTTTCTCATCTTCTATATATCATAAGTTCCCAGTGTGCTTTAGTGGCTAGAGAGATGGACTAGGACTCTGGAGAACAGGTTCAAAACCCCACTCAGCATGGAAATTGACAGGGGAGTGGAACTGGTAAAACCACTCCTTAAATATCACTTTGACAACTCTGTTAGGGTTGCTATAAATCATTTAAAACTTGACAGCATGTAACAATAATATATGCCAAAAACCAGCTTGTTCTAATTATCTAGCATATACTGCAACCTGTTCAGCTCATGTGAAAAGAACATGGTCTAGTGCACCTCCCAGTGGCTATGTACGGTAGAATGTGTTCTATTGTCTTTGGGACTGATTTTACTAACAAAGCAATGCAGTCTTAGGCACTGTACTGTACTGATATTTGACTACTACCCACTTGCAATTTTCTTTTATCGCACTACTTAAAGATGCCACAGTTTCCTTGGACTTCTAACCAATTGTCTGAACCAGCCCAACTCTCTTAAATATTAGTGGTTATGCTGGGACTATAATTCCCACTAAACCAGACATTTTATCGTGGGCTTTGGGTCTTGTAATCTAATACATCAGGAAGACATTAGTAAGTTGGGAGTGGTCTGTGGAACGGATGGATACTTTTTCTTTGAAAGAATTTTGCTGCTCTATAGAATAGACATAATCAGCTAGTATAATTACTAGTCACATTCAAACGCACGTCAGAACATGGTTTTATCAGTGTCCATGCTTTCTCCAGCTCAAACAACATTAGCAACACACTGGGTGGATCTTTTATCAGCCTCACCTTTGTTTAAGTAACAAAAAGAAAAATTACTTTTTGGGGGGTCACACCTGCCAAAATCTCCAGTAAGTGAATTCTGGTCACTGAACTGCAAAGTCTTAATTCCTCAGAATTCCACTTGTCTCCCTAGGAATCCAGGGCCATTCTTAGGAAGCAAAAAAATCCATGAGCAGGTGGACATCAGTGCTTTAAGCAGAATTCCCAACTTTCTGGACAATAGACCCTGTTGCCAGAAGAAAATTGATGGGTAAAGCACAGCCCATAGCCGTTGCAGGACGTTATCTCCCAGCATTCTTTGACACTGGGTCCAGCTGACAGCTCTAGCCTAACAACACCAAGAAGGGCATACTTTTTTCCAGCCCCTACTGGAAAAGACTAGGGTGATCTGGTAGAAGAGAAGGTGCCGAGGCAACTGGGAAATTACAGCTGGGTGGGAAGAATGAATCCGACATCTGCTACAGAGAGCAAAAGGTTTCTGCAAGACCTCCCAACTCAATGAGGAAGTGAAAGTCTGAGTTTTCATTCTGAGGTAGTGGCAAGAAAGCGACCCTGAAATGAGTAATTGTGGCGAGTGAATCAAATCAGCTGTGACTTGGGGGGAGAGAGTATGATTAACAATAAGAGACTATAGGCTCAAAGCATGGATTCATGCTTGGCACTCCTGGTGTTTCCAGATTCTTCAACAAGTTACTTGTCTATTAGCCTCACCTGTCTACCATTCTGTAAGGTGTTTTGTGATTAGCCCTGCCCACTATGACAGCACTTCCTGACCTCACTTCACAATGCTTGTTCAAAACTGCCAATGTACCCACCAGTTCAAAAGAATCAGGAGCGCCCTCTGCCTTGCATGTGCAAGCACTCAACAGTCACATGAAACAGCCATGTAATTTGTATCACACACCGCACTAAAAGTGTTCCCACTTGGTGGCTAATTTCCAACATGCATAACACAGAAGCTACATGGGATCAACATCTCTTAGGAAAATTCTTCCTCCATGTGATCCTGACAATTTCACCGATTGTCAGAAATACTGCAAAGAAGTGATACAGGACCCTTTTCTACCGTGGGCTTTCCATCAGAAACAAATTTGCCCTTCTATTGATGAGGTTTAGAAAAACAAATATTTCATTTTACCAATTTTGTGTAAGTTACTGTTTTGGCCTACACAATTTAATACCTTGCCTTTCATTACGGCCTGGTTGACTTTTGGCCACCTGAGGTATATTGTAAATAGAAATGCCAAAGGGTATTTGAAACTTTTCTATGGGCTATGATTTGAAGGCATTACAATACTGCACACCCTTCTAATGTTAATTTTGGTTTTGCCAGTGAATCCCTTGTCCATGATCTTGAGTTACTGTTGCTAAAAATGGAGCATACTACTTCAATAGTAGATTCAGTATCTACTTGCTATCACTAGCATGGAAACAAAGAATACAAACCACCATTCTGCGCACACATGGGTGAAGTGAAGGCTAATAGAACTTCTAAATGCCATCTGCAGAATTAATATTCTGTTGAAATTCTTACTGTAAGCATACCAGTTCCTACGTCTGGAGACAGAAAGCATTATCCACTCACATAAAGATTTTGCTGCAACACAAAAGGTAGAATTGAAAGTACAGTGGGGTCTTGACTTACGAACAGCCCGAGTTACGAACATTTTGACTTACGAACCGCTCTCATAGGAAAATATTGACTTGACTTACATACTTAGATTTGAGTTACGAACTGAAAAAAACCATGTGGGAGGCAGGGAAAGTGAACTTTCAGTTAACTGTTGGCCAGTGAAAAGGGTGCCTGTCTGCTTCCTCACTCCTCCCAGCGTTTAGAGAGTGGATTGGGAGACAGTCTTCAGACTGCCTGGTACTGTACTGCCTGGACTGTATTTTCCCTGCCTTCCCTGAACCTTTCTTGACTTAAGAAAAAAAGAAACAAAATATCCCCCCTCTAGTGGTCGAAGGCGGAATAGCAGCTTCCCATTAGTTTCTATGGATGGAAAAGAGCAGATACGGATCAAATGGTTTTCAATGCATTCCCATGGGAAATGCAGATTTGACCTGAGAACTTTTTGACTTGAGAACCGCCTTCCAATACGGATTAAGTTCTCAAGTCAAGACCCCACTGTATGATTCTCTTCTGATTAATTTCTAACCAGAAAAGCCAGCTATTGCCAGTTGAACCTGTTTTTAACAGCAAGCTCATTCATGTACAGCACACATTTAGTTTTACAACAAATATCGGGACAAATCCTTCTTTAAAAACTAACATGCCTGGTCAGTTCTACTGAGAACTGATTGACTACACGTGACAAGATATGCACACTAAACATTAATATATTACTGAGAAGTATCTGTATATAAAGATACGCTCAATGAAATGTCATTTCACAAGTCAATGACAGATTGCAGTCTATCAGGACATACTTTTAATGAAGCCTTGAAGCAAAAAATCTCAGCTGCCCACAGCAATCTGAGATTTTATAGAGTATACAAGTTCTTTAGTTGATAATAAGTTAATATATTCTATAGTTGTTCATCTGTACACTCCGGTAGTCAAGGAACATAACACTCTACATAAAAGCGCATCTTATTCCTCAGCTTCAGAGTCTTCATCATCATGGCTAATCTGGAAATATCGAAGTTCATAGGTTTCCTTGTCAGATGCAACCACACGCAGCCAGTCACGAAGGTTGTTTTTCTTCAGGTACTTCTTAGTGAGATACTTCAGATACCTTTAATATACAAAGCCAAATAATTTATGCACATAATGTCATCAGAGCTGAAGCTTTTTATAAAGATAAAAAACAACAGTCTGAGATGACTCTAAAATCCTCAGTGACTATCTACTGAATCACTAACTCTTATGCAAAGCTAGGCTACCAGAGTAGCTATGAAACTCAACTGTGAACCCCAAAGTGCTTAGGCAAGCCATTATGATCTTGCATCCCTAACTGCTACACTGGGATGAATCAGACTTATCCTGAAAAAAATGTCGTAAGAACTATAATTAATGATATGAAGTACTCTGGATTCCTATGGGTGAAATCCAATCTTAGTTCCAACTAGTGCAGACCACTGGATGAAAAGTCTATACATACATGCTGACTTAGTACAGTGGTGCCTCGCTTTGATTGCCCTGCATTACAATGAATCCGCTTTACGACAATCTTTTTGCCATAGCAAAATGATGGTCTAAATGGAGGAATTTTGCTTTGCAATGATCAGTTCCCTGCTTCAGGAACCGATTCTTCGCAAAATGACGTTTTTCTAACAGCTGATCGGCAGTTTCAAAATGGCCATTGGGTAATTAAAATGGCTCCCCGCTGTGTTTAGGGACGGATTCCTCACTATACAGGCAGCGAAAATGGCCACCGTATGGAGAATCTTTGCTGGACTGTGAGTTTTTACCCCACTGGACCGCATTGAACAGGTTTCAATGCGTTTCAATGGGTTTTTTTTTATTTTGCTTTACGATGTTTTCACTTAACGGCGATTTTCCTGGAACAGATTATCATCGTTAAGCGAGGCACCACTGTAAGTCTCTTTCAGCTAGGACTAAGAACTGAATTTAGCTCACAGCCACTATATGAAAGCTGTCACCATATGTAATAGAATTACGCTAGGACTAAGAACTGAATTTAGCTCACAACCACTATATGAACACTGTCAACATATGTGATAATTATTTATAAGGTACTATAAAAGACATACTTAATCATCAGAGTTGGTGAAAACTAGGCCACGTATGGCCAAAGTGTAATAGGAAACCTATTTAAAATCCCAATCCTAAACATATATACAGGTGTTACCAGTTAATTTTCCTTTAAACAAGTCAAACTGCTTGGGATAACACCAAATTGCTTCGGCATCCTACCACATAAAAGCACCACCTATCTTCTTATCCTTTTAGAAAAGCTGATCCACTCCTGAATGGAACTGAGAACAGTCAGTGGAATGCCAAGTAAGGCAAAAACATTATTCAAAACACAGAGATACATCAATCTTAGTAACACTGCATACTAACATTATTAAATCAAAATGCCTCACATAATGTAAAATTTTGAATATTCAAAACACAGAGATACATCAATCTTAGCAACACTGCATAATCAAAATGCCTCACTACTACCCAGTAGCATTTGGGGAATGGCCTTCCCTTAGCAAAAGAGTAGGCAAGCTGTGAACCCATCAGATAGTTTTGGACTCTAACTCCCATTAGCCCCATCCAGCACAGCCAGGGCTCAATCGGCACAGCACTCTTAACACAACCTGGAGAGAGCTAAAGGCTGCCCTTAGCATCTTTCCTTGATATTCTGTGCCATATCCCATTCTTTCCCACATAGTCCTGCAACTTCAGATGAATCATTCATAAGTGATGCAGGCTTAAGTAGACCAGAAGATGGCACTTTTCACTAATGCAAAGCCAACATCAGATCCAATGTATTTCTGAAACATTTCAATTATTATCGCTTATCCTACTGCACATCTTTAGAATGAAGCTAAAAACAAATCAGAAAGAATACTGTATGAAAGAAAACACACATACCGTTTTGAGAATTGTCTTTCAGATGACACGGTGATCTTGTTCTTAAAACGTTCAATGTGAACTATATTTCCCAGGTTTCCTGTTTTTCCATTGACTTTAACTTTTTCTTTCAGGAATTGTTCCTAATCCAACAAAATACAAAAATGCAACACTAGGGAATGTTGCCCTAGCTATGGAACTAGGGAAGGGACCCTAGCCAGATAATCCTTGTTATTACAGTGACATAAAGTAATGAAATCATGCAAACAGAACAAGAAATTAATTGTAGCTGAGCAAGACACAATATTCTTGTCAATAAAATGTTGATCCTACTGTAAATCTCAATACATAGGTCAAAATCCTGTTGGGTTTTTTTATGCATGCAAAAGCAAAAACATGGTAGTCACAGTAGCAAGTTAACAAAGTCCTGCTCACACGTCTCATCACAGGACCTTGCAACTTGGTTTGCTTTAGTTAACTGTTGTGTTTTCATAGTAGCAAGTTAACAAAGTCCTGCTCACACCTCTCATCACAGGACCTTGCAACTTGATTTGCTTTAGTTAACTGTTTAGTTAACTGTTGTGATTTCCACATTTTGCTTGTGAACATTAAAACCAAAAGGATTCTAACCAGCCCTTGATGTAAAGAAAACATTAAGGAACTATGCAGTCATTTGGTAGGGAATGAATCTGGCCAATGTGGGAGAATCAGTAGCCTAGGAATCAGTAACCTTATTCTCTCTTATTTTATTAATAAAATAAGGTTAATTACAAAAGTAGAGGCTAGAGTGAGTTAATGTCAAGAATTTACAATTTTGGTCCTATTCACAGGTTAGTTTGGTTAAATAACATAACATTTAATTAAAAACTCACAAATATTTTCTTCCTATTAAAAGAAACCTGAAGGATTGAAATGTGTCATCTGTGTCAAAGTTCAGTACATACTGCCATTTTCATCATTATAACCAGATCAGAGAACAATAAATGACAAAAGTACTTACAAAATTTCCTGAATCAAAGATTCCATCTTCTACAGGATGGGTGAGATCAAGGCTGTATTTACAAGCTGACTTTTTCAGCTTCTTGTCTTTTTGCTGAAAGAAAACCAAATATATTTGTGATCTTCATTTAAGGACAATTGAGCCTAGATAGTCAGAACAAACACTTATGGATTCTCCATTCAACTGAGCTTGTTGTAAGTTTTATTTTACAAAACTACCACCTACATCATGTAAAACACAGAAATTGAACACCAGATGCCCACTATCAAGACCCTTTCCCTACTTCCACTACAGCACACTCCACACATAATTATCGCTAATTTTGCTTTCATAGTACAAAACTGACTTGTGTTGAGTGAAATAACTGGTCCACCTGAGTACAGTACTGCCAATCCGACATGAAAAATGCTAACTTACCACTATTGTTGCCTCAGTACTAAATAACACAGCCAGTTTGGAAACACAAAGCAGCTGATTAGGACAGATTATGATTATCATAATTACCATCTTAGAAGTGCAGAACTATAAGGGACCCTATGGCTGGAGTCCAGCCCCTGTACTTCAGTGATTGAGGCATGTGGTTGCAGAGGTTGGGAATTTGATCAACCATGTCAAGTATGCATAGCCCTATACCACTCACAGGAGTCTTTCCTTGAATTAAAACAACTCAGGACTTAGCCAGATCCAATAAAGACAGGAAACC